GATTCTTGGTGGGCCCCAAGATAGCTTCAGGATGGGGGTTGGTTGTCAGAGGAACCACTTGTGATTAGAGCAGGGGTGGGCAAACTTTTTGACTCAAGGGCCACAATGGGTTCTTAAACTGGACCGGAGGGCCGGAACAAAAGCATGGATGCAGGGTTTGTGTGAACTAATATAAATTCAAAGTAAACATCATTACATAAAAGGGTACGGTCTTTTTTTTTTTTTAGTTTTATTCATTTCAAACGGGCCGTGGTTTGCCCACGGCTGGATTAGAGGGTTGGGACTTTCAGCCCCACCCACAGACCTTTGAAGAGAGGAGTGGCTGGAGATTGAGTTCAATCACCAATGGCCAATGATTAATCAATCATGCCTACCTAATGGAGTCTCCATAAACTCCTAGATGATGGGGTTTGGAGAATGTCTGAGTTAATGGACACATTCATGTGATTGATTAATCATTGTTTCTGGGGAAATGTAAATTAAGGCAAGATTGCAAAATATTTTAGTCCATGGCATTTATTTGCTCAAAAATATTCACTGAGTGATTATAATAGACTAGAGGCCTGGTACATGAAATTTGTGCACATGGGGGAGTCCCTCAGTGCGGCCTGCACCCTCTCTAATCCAGGACCCCTCAGGGGATGTCTGACTGCCTCTCGAAACCTGGGACCACTGGCTCCTAGCCACTCGCCTGCCTGCCTGCCTGATTGCCTCTAACCCCTCTACCTGATCACCCCTAACCACCTCTGCTTGCCTGCCTGATTGCCCCCAACTGCTCCCCTACTGGTCTGATCGTCTGTAACTGCTCCCTGACTGCCTCTGCCTTGCCCCGCACCCGGGACCCAGGCTTCCCTTCCTCTGGCCAGCCACAGGCACCCAGGACCTGGGCCGGCTTCATCCAGGCCAGCCACAGCTGCAGGGGACAGTGGGCAGGCAGCTTCGCCAGGCCACAGCTGCAGGCGCTGGTGCCCGGGACCGTGGGGCAGGTGGCTTGTCCCTCTCCCGGGCCGCAGCCTGGTTGGTCCCCATTCCTGTCTCGTGAGCTGATTTGTGCCTGGCTGATCCCCATTCCTCTCTCCCCAGCGTTGAGTGTCTGAGCCCTTACGGCGTTATGGCGTGAGGGCGTGATGACCATTTGCATATTAGCGCGTTATTATATAGGATCAGGCACTGTAGTAGATGCTTGAAATACAATGGTGAACAAGAGATCAAATCTAATGGGAAATACAGATTAATAGGCAATTAGTGAATAGTGCAGGAAGCAACATAAGAGTAAACATAGGTGCTCTTAGTTGTGCAGTGTGGGTAGGTTTAGAATCCCCGAATTGTCTCTTATAAAAATCATATTGCTAGACATTAAGAGAGAGTGAGTGACAGAGGACGAGATAGACAAAAGCTTGCCTAGCTTAGACTTTGTGCCCAACTCCTAGACTTCAGTTTGGGACTGAGGTAAGCCCAAGTGGCAGGCCCCAGTCATCCCTTCCTCTGGGCCACACTCACCGGTCTTCCTTAGAGCCTTCTAGTGGAGGGAGCCTCATGTCAATTTTATTGCATGAATCCAGTGATGCTTAATAAAAGCTCAAGCTTAAACAAAGGAACCACTCTCTATCTCCTTCCCTCTCCCAAATCCCCCCAAAGAGAACACATTCCGCCTGAAGAAAAGTCAGAACTTTATCGCTCCTAACACAAACACTCTGTGGCCTTAGAACCTTGACCTTGTCACAACCATAATCTTCCTTAAAGGGGGAAACTTGAGCTCAGTAAAGGTTAGAATGTGAAACTAATATGAATTCCTCTCTCTTTTTTTCTTCTTGCCACATCCCGAAGTCTTCTGCTTAAAGGACTTTAGAACAATGTGTATATCTAGTGGGAAAACTGTCCTGAGGCTTTCTAACTTAAAAGTCACTGTTTTGAGGCTGCTCTGCCAAATAGGTCCTGGCTCTTGGAAAGTAGTTTCTTTGCCAGTATCTTCCCATCAGTGGGAGACTTGTGTTCTAAATTCATCAATGTCTGAGCCATTGGTTCCCCAGAGTTCCAAACAGTCTTTCCAGAAAGTTTTAATAGGGTTAAACATAGTTCAACTCCATCTAGTTTTCTCCACCTCATGTCAAATGAACATCCTGGTGATATTCTAGTCTTTAACTGATGCTGAGAACTGATGCTATCTAGAACTGACATGGAGCATCCTGAATTTTTCCCAAGTTAGCACTTAGCATACATTTTACTTGTTTATCTCTTCAACCAAACGCTAAATTCTTTGAGGACACAAATAGTGTCTTATTTACCGTTTTATCTCCAACTAAATTGGTTGACTAAATAAAGGTCTCTATCAGGTAAGACTCTTTCAGTTGCTAATGACAGAAAACCAAATGAACTCAAATTAGCTTAAGCAAAATCACAAACCAAACCAAACCAACTAACAGACAAAACCTCTGCACATTACTTTGTGTAACTGCAAAGTCCAAGAACAAGCAATGTTATAGGAGCTCCTCTCTTCCTCCTTGTTCCCATTTTTTGCTCTCCTCTCTGCTGTGTTTGACTTCACTCTCAGGCAAATGAGACGGAGGTACCTGGTACAGCACATAGAATTTTTAGTTCTGATTGGGCCCAATAGTCTTGGCTTGATTCACATGCCTATCTCCAAACTAGTTACGTAAGTCAGAGGAATGTGCTGCTCTGCTTTCCAGGGTTTAGGCCACACATACTCATCCTTGAAACTAGGATGACAGGTGATCTGGGGTGGGGAGGTCAGCTCCATAGAAGTATGGTGTATTGAGGCCAGAGTGTGTGTGTGTGTGTGTGTGTGTGCATGCACGCGCACATGTACATATGTGCATGTGTGCGCGGGTTAGTGTGGGAAGCATGAATGCTGGTCAGCCAAAGCAATTCCACTGTTGAACTCCATATGTTTCCCTGAGATTGGACCCCTGTGAAACATGGATATCTGCCCAGACTGGTCTTGTCTGTGACTGCCAGCTCTTTCCCAGAGGTGGGGGCCACCATTCTTGCTTGGAGTATTCCCCAAACTCTGTGTATCTGCTTACAGCTTGGTCCTGCAAATCCTCTTTCTGCTCTAAATGTTCCCAGCAGGCTGCACAGTGCATGCAATGTCCTTCCAGACACTTTGGCAACTAGTGAGTCATGTATACAAAGAACTATTCAAAACAGAATTTGGTCAGTTCTCTATGAGAGTAGTGAAAAGATGTTTGGGGAGCAGAGATAAAGGCATACAACATCTGGCTGGGGCTTGAGAGCAGACAACCAATTCAGGGACTATCAAGCACCCAGGACAAGCCAGTGTAACGATGAATAATGAGAATAATAGTGATATTAACAACAGTTGCTAATACATATAGTACTTACCGTATGTCCTTTTCTAAGAACTTTATACGAATTAACTCAATGAATCCTCACTCTACTCTTTCAAGTAGGTACAATTATTTCCCCCATTTTAGAGTTGAAGTTAAGTAGTTTACCCAAGGTCACATAGGAAGGAAGCGGCAGAATAAGACTGGGTTCCTACACAGAGGATCTGAAAGGCCATGATACAGTGTGAGCCTGGACTTACAGTTTTATAAGCAGCTGTTTCATCTTTCCCAATGGACTCAAACTTCCCGAGAGTAGGACTGAGTCTAATCCAGCTTTGTATTCTCTAGAACACTAGGTGGGCTCTACACTTAGATAGAACCTACATATATCTCCTCTTTGAGTAAACTATCTTTGCTGGAATGAGCACTGTTATACAAACCACGTAAATGAAATCTCCCGCGCTGTTGGAGCACTGGGCAGGAAGTTCTGGATCTGACTAATTGAGGTTTTTGCCTCTGACTCAGTGTGTGAGTCCAGGCAAATAACTTAATGGCTGAGTACTACAAACTTGCCAACTGTAAAACAGGAAAATAAGTATCCCACATACTTCACAAGGACACAGCGAGGATAACATAATAATAAACAAACACAGAGGGTAAATTCTTGCAATCCTTAAGAGGAAAGGTACAAGAAACCAAGATATTGTTCTTTTTTTCCCCACTGTAACTTCACTAATCAGCAAATGTGCACTAGGAGGCAAACAATCTAGACACATGGGATTACAACAGAATAATAAAGCAAGCTTTCTGCTACTCCCTGTTTAACAATCGATTTAATGGGCAAGATCAGTTAGAGTGATAAACAGAAATTACTTAATAGAATAGGAAATTGGTAAGGTACATAGAGCTCTCTTAGTCCAACATATATAATGGAAAATGAGATCCAAAAGGGGGAAGTAACAGACTCAGGAAGGGTGCTATCAACGCAGAAACACTGGTCCTCAAAGCCAAGGCCTGGGCTCGGGGCTTGAACGCCAGTGGCAGAGATTACCATCTGTGTGACCTGGGGCCAGTAGCTTAGCTTCTCTGAACCAATTCCCTTCTCGCTAAAATTGTGGTAACACCTTACTTCAGAGAGCTATTGTGAATTTTAAATAATATCCTGCGTGTAAAACTGTAATCCAGGGCCCGGCGGTCAACTATTATTGCCGTTACTTCCGTAGGAGAAAGGTCTTTTCTGTCTCTTTTTCTGTAAGACAAACCATTCTTTGTCCAGCCAGGCCCCGTTCACACGGTGGAAAAAGAAAAGAAAAAGTGCTTTTAATAGGTCGGAGATGGGCGCTGCTGGCACTCGAACGGAGCCACCCTGGGCGGCAAAGCACAGCCCCGCTCGGCAGAGCCCATCTTCCATTTCCTTCCCTTCCTTTTTGGGAAAGGCCCCCCCGCTCCCCGCACCCCCCCTACCCCCCCCAGATTGCTGGCCCCGGTCGGGCTTCTCCCTCCGTCCTGTAGGTCGTGCGGGCCGCAGCAGCGCGGCGGCCAGGGCTGGCGCCTGGGTCCCCCCACACCCCATTCTTCCCCTGGGTTCCCCCGCCAGCGCTCCCGCGGGAATTGACGCGCGGGGGGGGGGGGGGGGGCGGGTGGAGGAGGAGCGGTTTCTTGCTGCGCCGCTCTCAGGAGCATTACGGTAGGGCTCGTTCCCGGCTCGGCCGCCAGCCCCAGCCTCCCGAGTCCGGCGCCGGGACTGGCGGAGGCCGCGAGCGAGGGAGGCACGCGCCCGCTCTCCGCGCCCAGACCGCCGCCGCCGCCGCCGCAGCCATGGCCGAGCGCCGCGCCTTCGCCCAGAAGATCAGCAGGTAAATCCCGGGCGTGGGGCGCGTCGCCGTAGCCGGTGGAAGAGCGGCCGAGTCCTGCCGCGCCGGGCCTCGGGGGTGGGTGGGTGGGTGGGTGTGGCGGCGGGGCGCCGGGATACCGCGGCCTGCCCTGCGGCTGGGCGGGGAGGCGGGCGGCTGCGGCCTCCCGCCGCCCTCGGACCCGGCCCGCAGCCTCGCCTACTGGGGCGCCCGCCTCCACCTCCACCTCCACCTCCACCTCCACCGGCCCGCGGGCACCCGGGCCTGGAGTTTTGCGGCGGCGCACGGCCGGGCGGGTGGGGGAAGCTCCTCGGCCGGCCGGCTGATCGGCGGCGCTTCCCAAATTCTTTGTGTCCCCACCCCCGGCGCCGGGAAAGCCGCGGCGCTGCGCCCCCTCGCACTCCCCGCCCACTCCCCGTGCGCCCCCCGGCGGGTGCGGGCGGCCGCCCTCCTCGCCACCCCGACAAAAGGAGCGGCGCGCGCGGGCGCGGGCCGGGGGAGGCCGCCCCTCCTTCGCGCCTCCTTCCCTTCCCGAGGGATCTGGCAGGGAGGGACCCTCTTTGCACCCCGAGGCCCACTTCAGAGTGGGCTCCTGCGCCCGGGGTTTATGGCCGCAAGGGAAAGTTGGGAAGCTGCGGTCTGCACCCTCGGTGTGCAGCTGCGGAATGTTGGGCGAATCGTGGCTGCAGCCTGATGTTGGGACCATGTGCAGCTCAGGGCGTCCCCGTGTTCCCAGCGCCGGGGAAGGTGGGTGATCGGCAGTGTCCCTCACTCACCCGTCCTCTCACCGAGCTTCCCCAGCCTTCCACCTGTTTGGGGTGGATTGATTGTCACCTTTCTCCCCCGCCCCAAACTACACATTGAATTACCGTGGAGGGTGCTAGCATTGGTAGAATGTCTTTGTGGAATGTACTAGTGTATAAGATGCTAGACATTTTTGGTTTCTATGGATCATGGTGTTCCAATAAAAGAAACACTCACATGTATTTTTTGACAGTTGTATTTCTGTGGGTCTGGATCTATTTCGTTTGCTGAGGTTTTTGAAAGATGTTTGGACCCCCCAACACAGGTCCTTTCTTAACTGCCTGAACTTCCACAGTGCTACTCTATTTTGGCACGTTGTATATTTAAAACTAACATTTCTTTGACTTAAGCTTTGTGCTTAATTATTTTTTTTCTTTGAAGTTTTAAACACGTATTTCATTTTCTCCTTAAGAGGCAAAATAGTAAATGCTAAAGGGCAAGGGCTTTAGTGTTAAACTGTGACATGAGATCCCTACTGTTATTTTCTAACTTGCCATCTTGGCCAAATTGTTTAAGCTGTCTTAAGTTTTAGTTTCCTCCTCTGGAAAATGGGTATAATAACAGTACCCAGATCGTAGAGTTGTTGTGAAAATTAAATGGCAAAATGTGTGTAAAGTGTTTAGCATAGTGCATGGCCTATACTAACTATCACTGAACACTTACAATAATTAGCATATCCTAGAGAGTTGTGATTGATTTAATACTCAATTAGTACTTTTTTTTTTGTAAAACAATTGGGTCTTGTTTCTGAAGGCAGTGCCATTTTTTTAAAAAAATATATTTTATTGAATTTTTACAGAGAAGAAGGGAGAGGGATAGAGAGCTAGAAACATCAATGAGAGAGATCGATCAGCTGCCTCCTGCACGCCCCCCCAGTAGGGATGTGCCCGCAACCAAGGTACATGCCCCTGACCGGAATCGAACCCGGGACCCCTCAGTCCGGAGACCGAGGCTCTATCCACCGAGCCAAACCGATTCGGCAGGCATTGCCATTTTAAAAAAGATGTATTACTTGACACCATGCTTAGTATTAAGTTCTCTTTAATGGAATCAAAAGTTCATCCCTGAGAACATTGCACTGATCAAGAATTGTGCACATTAGGAATTTAGATATGAAACATACAATGTTTGCTCTCCATCTTCTATGGAGTTTGTGTTCAGGTGGGACAGGACAACACACACACATACGCACATACACACACAAGATCGGTTTTGCAAAACAACACTAAATTCAAATTAATATAACCTTGTAAAGTTAGGCCCTTGCCTGTTTGGCTCAGTGGATAGAACGTCAGCCTGGGGACTGAAGGGTCCTGGGTTCCATTCCCGTCAAGGGCACATGCCCAGGTTTCAGGCTCATTCCCCAGTAGGGGGAGTGCAGGAGGCAGCCGATCAATGATTCTCTCTCATCATTGATATTTCTCTCTCTCCCTCTCCCTTCCTCTCTGAAATCAATAAAAAAAAAAAAAATTAGGAGAAAGAATAGGTTTGAGGGTAGAAATGAGGTGAAATGGACATGCTGATTTGAGGTGCTCATGGAGCATTCAAAGGGAAAAGTCTACTGGGTTGTTGGTACAGGTTTTAGGTGCAGAGGAGAGAGATTGGGATGAAGATCTAGATTTGGGAGTCATCAGTAAGTTGATTGTAATGGAAGCAGAGGACATGAAAGCCCAGGAGGAATGTGCAGTCTTAATTTGGAGGGAAGGCCAGGGACAGAACTGCTATAGATGAAGTATTATCTGCTTATCGTGAGTGAAAGGCACTTTCTTCCTTGTTGCCAAATATGACTGAATAATACTTCTGAATAAATTCTTGTTCTGCTTCTTAGTTTCCTACTAAGGGAAGTATAATAACACAAACTCTGGAGGCAAACTGCCTTAGTCTGCCATATTAGCACTGCCCCTCATTGAGTAAACTTGGGCATGTTACTTTATTCACCTCATTATGCCTTATTATCCCTATCTATAAAATGGGATAATAGTAGGACTTACCTTATAGGGTTGTTGCAAAGATTAAATAAATCAATACATGTAAAGTGCTTAGAACAGTGTTTTTTACTAGTGCCCAGTAAGTAGCAACAATTTTTTGTTATTACAGTATTTATAATATGGCTAGGACCTTTTCTTGGTAGTGACAATCCCTTTTATGGTGTCCATACGTGAAATCTGTTGCTCTGAAAAACCTGTTGCTATTTGAAACCTTATCTTTCTTTTTTAAAGAGCTTTATAATTATTAGAAACCTTTACTTAAAAAAGAATTATGTTGATTTCTGGCTCAGTTATTTCCTAATCCTTTTGCTGTTATTTTAGTGCTGTTATTTTTTGAAGCTGTGATTTGGTGACTTCTTCCAGCTCTTTATTCTGTATCATTGATTGTTCTGCTTACCTCAGCTCATCATAGAAAAGCAGCATGTTCATTTTGTCAATATCTTGTCGCCCTACTTCTTAAGGACAAGGCACATGCATTGTTAAGGTTTATACTCACCCCCAGCATATAATAGGTACATTTTTTGGAATGTTGACTGTAAATTAATGATTAGGATTTTGTTTGGATTATTTCATCCTGTTACTTGATATTCAGCAGTAATGATGAGCATTTGTATATTCTTAAAATACTTTTTACTACATTTTCATCTTCATAACTGAGAGAGGCAGAGAACATAGTAAAAAAAAAAAAATCCAGGGCATTTTATACAGGTTGAAATTTTGCTTATATCACAATAGCTATGTGATTCTGGACAGTTGATTTAACCTCGCTGTCTTCGTTTATTCATCAGTGAAGTGGGGATAAATCACCTCCATAGGATTAATGTAAGGATTAAGTGCGTTAATGCATGTAAAAAATTTAGAACTGTGCCTGAAACATAAGAACCATAAAAAAAAAAAAGTTAGCTGCTGCTATTCTTATTTCTGTATTACTTTTTGTTATTATTTTGTCCCTAATCTAGATAAGGAATTGAGGCCTACTGGGCATGGGATTATTTGCTTAAATTGGAACTCAAATCCTAGTCCTCTGATTTCTGGTCTTAAGGTCTTATGCTTAAAATAATTTTTTAAAAAAATTTATTGATTTGAGAGAGAGAGAGAGAGAGAGAGAGAGAGAAACATCGACTCATTATTTTACCCATTTATACATTCATTGGTTGCGTCCCGTATGTGCCCTTAACCTGGGATTGAATCTGCAACCTTAGCATATTGGAAGGCAGCTCCAACCAACTGAGCTACTGGTCAGGGCAGATCTTACACTTTTTATTCAACTGTATTTTCTTTCTGCAAAATATTTTCTGGATTAGTTCCAGATTTTCTAAGAGTGCCACTGTTAGCATCTCAAAAGTTACCCTTGCCTTTTTAGTCTTGCCTTTGTTAATTTAGTATCATTTTGCTGCTAAAGAAGCAGAATATAATGAAAGGCTTTATCAGATCTTTATTTCTGATGAAAATTTACCTGAGTAGGGTTTCCTAGATATAGGCTTATTTATATCCTCAATTGTTTTTAGTCCTGAACCTGTTCATAACTCTGGTTGGTTAGGCCCAATTTTTCAATCTGCTGAATCTGCTGTGTTCAATTCATTATCTCACTGCTGATCAAAGTAAATCCATTCTGATTACTATCAACTACTTTAATGCTGCCTGTTTTGTCACTTTGGACATATACTTCATTGAGCTTTTGTTATACTCATTTCACTAACTCTTAATGCTGAGTATCTTATAATCTATTCTTACTCATGAACTATAGAGTAGTGTTAGGGGGAGACTAGACCAGTTCACACAGACAATAGAGTGGTGAATGCCTGGGAGGGGTGGGTGCGGGGTGGAGGGGGTCAATGGTTAAAAACAAAACAGAACAAACACACAACCAAACAAAGGGGACATCTGTAATACTTTCAACAATAAAGAAAAAAAAAGCACCCCAAAGTTGATCTCTTATTAATAGTTTCTCATTTGAAGTTTACTGCAAATCATTTCTATCATTTATCATCTTTGTTTCCCTACATCATCTTCTATTGAAAAGTTTGACATGAGTTCTGACACGAGTTCTTCATTTTAACCTCAGCATACTACTGTGTCAATATGTCATTTAACCATCTTTCTCTTGAGCCTGAAAAGTGTCTTATCTCTAAAGCTTACCTGTTTTATTGTACTTTGAGTCCCATACCTTGCCACTTCCCTCAGAACCTTGATCTCACAATTTTTCCTTTC